AAAGCCTTCCTTGAGCAACCTGCTCTGGTGGGAGGTGTCCCTGCCCAGGGCAGGGGGTTGGGGCTGGATGATCTCTAAGCCTCATTCCAATCCCTAACACACTATGAAACTAATTAGCCACCCACAGAACAGTTTAAGTCCCATCTAGACAAGACTGGCTGTCAATGAACTGCAGCTAAAGCTGATGCTGCTCTGTGCTATAGACACCAAGGATGAACTATGCACATACAAGTCCTGCATCTCAGGGCCGTGGCCAGCACACCCAGCAGGGCTGGCTCATGGGCAGCCACCAGAGCACTGTGCTCTCTGCAGGGTATGCACAGCTCCACCTCTACAGGGCAGATGAGCAGAGGGATAGGAGGGATAGGAGGGATAGGATGTTTTGGTTGAGAAATGTCTGGGGCACCAGACAGAACAGAAACCCCTCCTCCAACTCTGACAGAGATAAGTTCATGACTGTGATTCTACTTTGTGATATTTACCATCCTTTCCTCTTTATCATCAGGAGAACACAAGGTCCTCTTGAGCATCAATTTGAAGCAAAAACCTCCTCTGTTTTCACTTTCTTTCTGTCAGCAACAACTTACCTTCAGATCTATGAGCCCATTTTTTTTCACAGGTAGGTAGGTGACCCGAAAACCTTCTGTTTCCAGGGAACGACAGGAGTCCAACACACACTTGTGCTCTGTTTGTGTAGTAATGATGTGCTTCTTTCTGGATTTATAGAACCTTGCAACACCCTGTTGGGCACAACCCAGGAACAGGAAATTTGCTGTTAGACCACTGAAGAAAGCAAGCATTGCAAAAAAGGGTTTGGGAACAAGAAATTACTACTTAGGTGTAATTCATCTGGATCTTTCCTCTCTGACCCAAAGTCAGGAATCTAAAAGGCACTGACATGTAATCCACACTACATATCCCCATCAGGACTCATTTTCCAAAGCATCTTACTGCTCAAAAACCATGTGAAAATGTTAACTGATGGAAGTAGTGTCTTTAACCAAAATACTTCTTGAAAACCATTTGCCCTGGAGTCATATACACTGAGAAGTCTGAACAACCACAGACTAAAGATTAAAACACAGCCTAGTCTTCATCAGAAAAAAGCTTCTAATCAGCATCTCCACTGTATTTCATGATAAAGACTTTAACTATATCAGCAGAAGGATTTGGTGCATGTAAGATGAACACTGCATATTACACAGTGTCCTCAAAACAACGTCCTAGGAACCAAAGCAATTCCCCACATATGTGGCAGAACAACACACTGGGTAAGTCAAGAATGCAAATATTTCCTACCTGCTCCAACACATTAACATTTAAGCTGCTGAAAGACGCACACAGTTCTCAGGAGCATAACTGTAACATAACAAATACCCATCACTACAAACACTTTACCTTAATTGCCATGTTATTAGACTCTGTTGCACCACTGGTGAATATAATTTCCCGTGAATCAGCTTTAATTAAATCTGCAACTTGCTGTTCAAAAAGAAACACACATGTGGTTTGTCGAGAAAACACACAATGAATTCACTGTAGTACAATACATGAAAAACGTTTTCAGGAACATCCTCTCGAGTCTCAAAGGGATTACAGCTGATCCCTAACAAAGTTATGCTACAGGTACCATAGTCTAAAGATCTGCATTAATATAAAGCACATGAGGAATCCACAGTCATTAGCAG